TAATAGTATAATATAATATAATGTTACATATTAATATTAATATAATAGTATAATATAATGTTAATAGCATAACATAATATAATGTTATATATTATATGAATATATTATTGTATAATATAAACATATTATTATGACCATTAATACATAATATAGATCTATATGATATATATAATAATAATATAACAATATTAATAATATAATATATTAATATATATGAGTATATGATTGTATAATATAAATATATTATTATGCCCATTAATACATAATATAGATCTATATGATATATAAAATATATAATAATAATATATAACAATATTCATAATATATATATTGATATTGATATATATGAATATGTTATTGTATAATACAAATATATTATTATGACCATTAATACATAATATAGATCTATATGATATATAAAATATATAATTATAATATATAACAATATTCATAATATAATATATTAATATATAGGAGTATATTATTGTATAATATAAATATATTATTATGACCATTAATACATAATATAGATCTATATGATATATAAAATATATAATTATAATATATAACAATATTCATAATATAATATATTAATATATAGGAGTATATTATTGTATAATACAAATATATTATTATGACCATTAATACATAATATAGATCTATATGATATATAAAATATATAATGATATTATAATCATATAATAATATTAATAATATAATATAATAATATATAATAATATATGAGGACAGGGGGAGATAGAGCGGGGTATAAATAAATATAATTATTATTATTATTGTTATACATGTCTAAGTAAATAAATATAATAATAATAATAATAATAATAATAATAATAATAATAATACTATATTTGTATTCTGCCCTCCAACTGGACGGGGGGAGATAGAGCAGGGTATAAATCAATATAATAAATATAATAAGACATGTCTATGTAAATAAACATATAATATATATAATAATTATATAAATAATAATAATATAATAAAACTATATTTGTATTCTGGGGGAGATAGAGCAGGGTATAAATAATAATAATAATAATAATAATAATAATAATAATAATAATAATAATACATGTCTTTGTAAATATATAATAATAATAATAATAATAATAATAATACTATATTTGTATTCTGGGGGAGATAGAGCAGGGTATTAATAATAATAATAAATAATAATAATAATAGTAATAGTAATAATAATAATAATACATGTCTATGTAAATAAATATATATAATAAAACTATATTTGTATTCTGGGGGAGATAGAGCAGGGTATAAATAATAATAATAATAATAATAATAATAATAGTAATAATAATACATGTCTTTGTAAATAATAATAATAATAATAATAATAATAATAATAATACTATATTTGTATTCTGGGGGAGATAGAGCAGGGTATAAATAATAATAATAATAATAGTAATAGTAATAATAATAATAATACATGTCTATGTAAATAAATATATATAATAAAACTATATTTGTATTCTGGGGGAGATAGAGCAGGGTATAAATAATAATAATAATAATAATAATAATAGTAATAATAGTACATGTCTTTGTAAATATATAATAATAATAATAATAATAATAGTAATAATAATACATGTCTTTGTAAATATATAATAATAATAATAATAATAATAATAATAATAATAATAATACTATATTTGTATTCTGGGGGAGATAGAGCAGGGTATTAATAATAATAATAATAATAATAATAATAATAATAGTAGTAGTAATAATAATAATACATGTCTATGTAAATAAATAATATAATAAAACTATATTTGTATTCTGGGGGAGATAGAGCAGGGTATAAATAATAATAATAATAATAATAATAATAGTAATAATAATACATGTCTTTGTAAATATATAATAATAATAATAATAATAATAGTAATAATAATACATGTCTTTGTAAATATATAATAATAATAAATAATAATAATAATAATAATAATAATAATAATACTATATTTGTATTCTGGGGGAGATAGAGCAGGGTATAAATAATAATAATAATAATAGTAATAGTAATAATAATAATAATACATGTCTATGTAAATAAATATATATAATAAAACTATATTTGTATTCTGGGGGAGATAGAGCAGGGTATAAATAATAATAATAATAATAATAATAATAATAGTAATAATAATACATGTCTTTGTAAATATATAATAATAATAATAATAATAATAATAATAAAAAAAAACTATATTTGTATTCTGGGGGAGATAGAGCAGGGTATAAATAATAATAATAATAATAATAATAGTAATAATAGTACATGTCTTTGTAAATATATAATAATAATAATAATAATAATAATAAAACTATATTTGTATTCTGGGGGAGATAGAGCAGGGTATAAATAATAATAATAATAATAATAATAGTAATAATAATACATGTCTTTGTAAATATATAATAATAATAATAATAATAATAATAATAATAATACTATATTTGTATTCTGGGGGAGATAGAGCAGGGTATAAATAATAATAATAATAATAATAATAATAGTAATAATAATACATGTCTTTGTAAATATATAATAATAATAATAATAATAATAATAATAATACTATATTTGTATTCTGGGGGAGATAGAGCAGGGTATAAATAATAATAATAATAAATAGTAATAGTAATAATAATAATAATACATGTCTATGTAAATAAATATATATAATAAAACTATATTTGTATTCTGGGGGAGATAGAGCAGGGTATTAATAATAATAATAATAATAATAATAATACATGTCTCTGTAAATAAATATATAAAATATATATTACAATAATTATTAAAAATAGTATTATTGTTACGATTACTGAGATTTTCCCCTTGCGAGACACAAATTAGAGTCCTTGCCGAGCCTTGCAATTTCGAAACTACAAACCCCATACTCCCCTCCTGAGAGCAGACTACGACTCCCATTGCTTTGCCTATTGCAGACTACAACTCCCATCATCCTGGTTTTGGAAGTCGTATTCTCCTCCCTTCATAACCCATTTATTGCCATTGCAAGATAATAACTACAATGGCAATTATTATCCAGAGAAGTCTTTTCGCTTTGGGCCCGTTTTGCAAAACCAATGCCAAAAAAAAAGGAGAGACAAGCCCTGGGTTGCTTTGCCTTTTCCTCCTTGAAGCTTCCTTCCTTCCTTCCTTCCCTATAATTACCCCGAAATTCCCCAAATGCCTGGCATTGCAAACTGCTGCGTTGGCATTCTTTTCCCCTTTTGCATTTGGCCTTCTTAAAGCAAACCCTTGCAAAACTAGAAATTACAGGGAAATTAAAAAATATTCCTTTTGGACTCCTGGGAAAAAGTGAGGAGGACTCATTTCGAGTGGTACACACGCCTTGGCCTCGGAGTGATTGATTTCCTCAGGTGCCATTCCCATTCCAAGATGGGGCCATGATGGGATTTGTAGTCCGCCCTGAAATAGCTCCTCGCGGGCGCCACCCGATCCGCTCCACGGCCAAGCTGCCCATATAAAGAAGGCCAGGAGCCCAAAATAGAGAGGCCTGCGCCGATGCAAAGAGGGATCGGGTGTCCCATGAGGCTGGCTCTGAGCAAGGGAGAACGCCGCGTCCCAAGTAAGGACAACTGGCCCTCGGTCCCGAGCCTATTAAAAGGAGTCTCATCTCAACCCATCCTCAATTGCCACCCTTTACATTTGGTTTAGTTTTGCTGATTTGGAATACATGGTTTTAAATGGGATTTGGAGGAATTTAAACTTGGGGAAAAGTTCCCTTTGGGGGACTACAAATCCCATACTCCCCATGCTCACTGCTAGCCTCATAACTTGGAGAAGTTTCCTTTCGTGAACTACAAGTCCCATACTCCCCATGCCCACTGCTAACCTCATAACTTGGAGATGTTCCCTTTGGTGAACTACAAATCCCATACACCCCATGCCCACTCTAACCTCATAACTTAGAAAAGTTCCCTTTGGTGAACTACAAGTCCCATACTCCCCATGCTCACAGCTGACCTCAAAACTTGGAGAAGTTCCTTTTGGGGAACTACAAGTCCTATATTCCTCATGCCCACTGCTAACCTCATAACTTGGAAAAGTACTACAAGTCCCATACTCCCCATGCCCACTGCTAACCTCATTAACTTGGAGATGTTCCCTTTGGGGAACTACAAATCCCATACTCCCCATGCTCATGGCTAACCTCATAATTTGGAAAAGTTCCCTTTGGGGAACTACAAGTCCCATACTCCCCATGCCCACTTCTAACCTCATTAACTTGGAGAAGTTCCCTTTGGGGAACTACAAATCCCATACTCCCCATGCTCCCTGCTATCCTCATTAACTTGGAGAAGTTCCCTTTGGGGAACTACAAATCCCATACTCCCCATGCCCACTGCTAGCCAAAGAAATGCTCTCAAGCTCTGGTCGGATTAGTTTTCCCATCCTTTTGTTTATGATTTACTTTTGTTTATGAGTTATTCACCCAAATGGGAGATGGTGGGAGTCGTAGCGCTCCCAAGCTGGACTCAATCGATAGTTTTCCCCTTCTTACGCAAGGACCGTTCTTTCCAAGTATGGAGATGTTTGGAGATGTGTCCCAAAAGGGGTGGGAAGTGGGAACTTGGCCATAAATGGCACCAAACCCCATCTCTCTGCCCTTGGATAGATAGAGGAAGACATAGTGCAGTTGGAAAAGCAACTGCGGGGCTCGGAGGACGACCGGGACCGCGTCCTGGAGGAGCTCCACTCGGCCGAGGAGAGGCTCCTGGCCGCCGACGAGAAGGCCGCCAAGGTACGGACGGATGGCTAACCCACTCTCCTTTCTTCTCTTCTCTTCTCCTTTCCTGTCTTCCTGTCCTTCTGCACCGCACCTCTCCTTCCCGGGAACGCCACCACCACCACTGCCTGCCGCACTCCTCCCTTCCTCCTTCCCATCCATCCCTTCTTCTCCCAAACCCACGGCCAGTTGGAGGATGAGCTGGTGTCCCTCCAGAAGAAGCTCAAAGGGACAGAGGACGAGCTCGACAAGTATTCTGAGTCCCTCAAGGATGCCCAGGAGAAGCTGGAGCTGGCTGAGAAGAAGGCCACCGACGTGAGTACAGCCCCTCCCCAAGGACAACCACCCTCTAGCATGGCCTAAGTGGCCCCATAGCGACATTGGGTGGGATGAAACCACCATCACAAGGGTTCCCAACCTCTATTATGGCCAACCACCCTCTATTATGGCCTCCGTGGCCCCATAGCGACATTGGGTGGGATGAAACCACCATCACAAGGGTTCCCAACCTCTATTATGGCCAACCACCCTCTATTATGGCCTCCGTGGCCCCATAGCGACATTGGGTGGGATGAAACCACCATCACAAGGGTTCCCAACCTCTATTATGGCCAACCACCCTCTATTATGGCCTCCGTGGCCCCATAGCGACATTGGGTGGGATGAAACCACCATCACAAGGGTTCCCAACCTCTATTATGGCCAACCAACCTCTATTATGGCCTCCGTGGCCCCATAGCGACATTGGGTGGGATGAAACCACCATCACAAGGGTTCCCAACCTCTATTATGGCCAACCACCCTCTATTATGGCCTCCGTGGCCCCATAGCGACATTGGGTGGGATGAAACCACCATCACAAGGGTTCCCAACCTCTATTATGGCCAACCACCCTCTATTATGGCCTCCGTGGCCCCATAGCGACATTGGGTGGGATGAAACCACCATCACAAGGGTTCCCAACCTCTATTATGGCCAACCACCCTCTATTATGGCCTCCGTGGCCCCATAGCGACATTGGGTGGGATGAAACCACCATCACAAGGGTTCCCAACCTCTATTATGGCCAACCACCCTCTATTATGGCCTCCGTGGCCCCATAGCGACATTGGGTGGGATGAAACCACCATCACAAGGGTTCCCAACCTCTATTATGGCCAACCAATCTCTATTATGGCCTCCGTGGCCCCATAGCGACATTGGATGGGATGAAACCACCATCACAAGGGTTCCCAACCTCTATTATGGCCAACCACCCTCTATTATGGCCTCCGTGGCCCCATAGCGACATTGGGTGGGATGAAACCACCATCACAAGGGTTCCCAACCTCTATTATGGCCAACCACCCTCTATTATGGCGTCCGTGGCCCCATAGCGACATTGGGTGGGATGAAATCACCATCACAAGGGTTCCCAACCTCTATTATGGTCAACTACCCTCTACCATGGCCTCCGTGGCCCCATAGCGACATTGGATGGGATGAAACCACCATCACAAGGGTTCCCAACCTCTATTATGGCCATCCAACCTCTATTATGGCCTCCGTGGCCCCATAGTGACATTGGGTGGGATGAAACCACCATCACAATGGTTCCCAATGTCTATTATGGCCAACCAATGTCTATTATGGCCAATCAACTTCTATTACGACCTGTATGGTTCCTTAGAGACACTGGATGGGATCCCACCACCATCATACAGGCCCTCTCTGGCCACCCAATGTTACTTATGGCCACCCAAGGTCTACTATGGCCTCTGTGGTCCCATATAGATATGGGATGGGATCCCACCACCATCATAAGGGCCCTTTCTGGCCACCCAAGGTCTGTTACGGCCACCCAGCTTCTATTATGGCCACCCAATGTCTATAATAGCCACCCAAGGTATGTTATGACCACCCAACATCTATTATGGCCACCCAACATCTACTATGGCCACCCAAGGTCTATTATGACTACCCAACATCTATTATAGCCAACCAACATCTGTTATAGCCTCTATGGTCCCACAGAGACATTGGATAGAATCCCACCACCATCTTAAGGGTTCTTTCTCGCCACCCAACATCTTTTCTGACCACCCAACATCTACTATGGCCACCCAAGGTCTATTATGGGCACCCAGGGTCTATTATGACCACCCAACATCTATTATAACAACCCAAGGTCTGTTATAGCCACCCAACGTCTGTTATGGCCTCTATGGTCCCATAGAGACATTGGATGGAATCTCACCACTATCTTAAGGGTCCTTTCTGGCCACCCGACATCTATTATAGCCACCCAATATCTATAATGACCTCTGTGGTCCTATGGAGATGTAGAATGGGATGAAACCCTCATCTCAAGGGCCCTCTCCACCCAACGTCTATTACGGCTTCTGTGGTCCCATAGAGACATTGGATGGGACCCCTCTCTGACCACACATGTCTGTAATAGCCATGCGATGTCTGTTATGGCCACCCAATGTCTTTATTGCTACCCAACATCTATTATAGACTCTATGGATGGGCCCCTACCACCAGCTTAAGGGCCCTCTCTGGCCACCCAAGGTCTATTATGGACTTTGTGGTCCCATAGAGACGTGGGATGGGATGAAACCACCACCTGGAGGGGCCTTGATGGTCTTGATGGTTCCACCCCAACAAGATGTAGGATCTGGTTCTATAGAGATATTCAATGAGACCCTACCACCAGCTTAAGGGCCCTCTCTGGCCACCCAAGGTCTATTATGGACTTTGTGGTTCCATAGAGACGTGGGATGGGATGAAACCACCCCCTGGAGGGGTCATGATGGTCTTGATGGTTCCGTCCCAACAAGATGTAGGATCTGGTTCTATAGAGATATTCAATGGGACCCTACCACCAGCTTAAGGGCCCTCTCTGGCCACCCAAGGTCTATTATGGACTTTGTGGTCCATAGAGACGTGGGATGGGATGAAACCACCCCCTGGAGGGGTCATGATGGTCTTGATGGTTCTGTCCCAACAAGATGTAGGATCTGGTTCTATAGAGATATTCAATGGGACCCCACCACCAGCTTAAGGGCCCTCTCTGACCACCCAACATCTGCTATGGCCTCTGTGGTCCCATAGAGACGTGGGATGGAATGCAACCACCACCTGGAGGGGTCATGATGGTCTTGATGATTCTGTCCCAACAAGATGTAGGATCTGGTTCTATAGAGATATTCAATGGGACCCCACCACCAGCTTAAGGGCCCTCTCTGACCACCCAACATCTGCTATGACCTCTGTGGTCCCATAGAGACGTGGGATGGAATGCAACCACCACCTGGAGGGGCCTCTCTAGCCACCCAACGCCATCTTGATGGTTCCATCCCAACAATCGAGATGGGTGGGCAACGAATGGGGCACCGATTTCCTTGCATGATGCATGTCACCAAATTTATGGGTTCGATGGTGGTTCTTGGGGTGCCTCCATCTTGATTTTGTGTCACTTGAAAGAAGGAAAACTGGAGAAGGGAAAGGGAGAATGGTTTCCACATAGAATTAAGGACAGTGACTATATATATATAACTGTATAACCCTACGTAGAATGGTTTCGGTATATAATCAAGGACGTATCCATTGAGTAGTATCTGCAGTTCCATTTATCCACAAAATTGAGGTCTTCCAACCAAGTCTATGGTACGTTTTAGGTTGGAAGTCCTTCATTTCCTTAGGACTCGCTATGATCCGTGGGTTTGTTTATCCACGCCCAACGAAATGTGACATACGGCGTTCTTGCATTCATTTGGGAAAGGTTTGCTATTATCCACGGTTTCATTTATCCACATCTACGGACTCTTGGAGGCCCTTCGTTTCATTAGGGTTGTTGTTGTGATCTGCAGATGATCTTCATCTCAAAATGGGTCTATTTTCTGTGGTCCCATAGAGACGTGGGATGGGATGAAACCATCACCTGGAGGGGTCATGATGGTCTTGATGGTTCCGTCCCAACAAGATGTAGGATCTGGTTCTATAGAGATATTCAATGGGACCCCATCACCAGCTTAAAGGCCCTCCCTGGCCACCCAAGGTCTATTATGGACTCTGTGGTCCCATGGAGACGTGGGATGGGATGAAACCACCACCTGGAGGGGTCATGATGGTCTTGATGGTTCCGTCCCAACAAGATGTAGGATCTGGTTCTATAGAGATATTCAATGGGACCCCACAACCAGCTTAAGGGCCCTCCCTGGCCACCCAAGGTCTATTATGGACTCTGTGGTCCCATGGAGACGTGGGATGGGATGAAACCACCACCTGGAGGGGTCATGATGGTCTTGATGGTTCCGTCCCAACAAGATGTAGGATCTGGTTCTATAGAGATATTCAATGGGACCCCACAACCAGCTTAAGGGCCCTCCCTGGCCACCCAAGGTCTATTATGGACTCTGTGGTCCCATGGAGACGTGGGATGGGATGAAACCACCACCTGGAGGGGTCATGATGGTCTTGATGGTTCCGTCCCAACAAGATGTAGGATCTGGTTCTATAGAGATATTCAATGGGACCCCACAACCAGCTTAAGGGCCCTCCCTGGCCACCCAAGGTCTATTATGGACTCTGTGGTCCCATGGAGACGTGGGATGGGATGAAACCACCACCTGGAGGGGTCATGATGGTCTTGATGGTTCCGTCCCAACAAGATGTAGGATCTGGTTCTATAGAGATATTCAATGGGATATTATGGACTCTGCGGTCCCATGGAGACGTGGGATGGGATGAAACCATCACCTGGAGGGGTCATGATGGTCTTGATGGTTCCATCTCAACAAGATGTAGGATCAAAGAGCATTCTGAACTCCACCAATGATAGCAATAATAATAATAATTCAAATTATGCCAGAGCTCCCTGTCGGCCGTCACCACCCCCAGCTCCTTCAAGGTCAATCCAGTGACTTCAAGGATCCCATCCATTCATCTTGCAATAATAATAATAATAATAATAATAATAATAATAATAATAATTCAAATTACGCCAGAGCTCCCTGTCGGCCGTCACCACCCCCAGCTCCTTCAAGGTCAATCCACTGTGCACTCAAACAATTATGGATCTGGACCAAACTTGGCCCAAATATGAACACAGATGGAGTTTAAGGGAAATAGACCTTGCATTTGGGAGTTGTAGTTGCTGGGATTTATAGTTCACCTACAATCAAAGAGCATTCTGAATTCCCGCAATGATAGAATTGGGCCAAA